GCTGCTATCTTGTTTAGTAATGAACACAGGCATTTGCATTTCTGTCTGTATATGTCATTTGTAAATTAACTGACATTGTTGGACTAATAATGGTAATATCAATAACAACAAGAATAACAATAATAAATGTAATGATAATAATAACATAAAATTAGTTTGTGAAAATACTGCTGGCTCATTCAGTAAAGAACACAGGTATTTGGATTTCTGTCTGTGTATGTCATTTGTAAATGAACTGACATTATTGGACTAATAATGGTAATATCAATAACAAGAATAATAACAATACCAATAATAATAATAATAATTTCAACAATAACAACAATAAATGCATAAAATTAGTTTGTGAAAATACTGCTGGCTCAATCAGTAAAGAACACAGGTATTTGAATTTCTGTCTGTATTTGTCATTTGTAAATGAACTGACAATTTTGGACTAATAATAGTAATAACAACAAGAATAATAATAATAATAATAATAATAATAGCAATAGTAATAATAATAAAAGCATAAAGTTAGTTTGTGAAAATACTGCTGGCTCGTTCAGTAAAGAACACAGGTATTTGGATTTCTGTCTGTGTATGTCATTTGTGAGTGAACTGACATTATTGGACTAATGATGGTAATATCAATAACAAGAATAATTTAAACAACAATAATAATAATAATAATAATAAAAGCATAAAATTTGTTTGTGAAAATACTGCTGGCTTGTTCAGTAAAGAACACAGGTATTTGGATTTCTGTCTGTATATGTCATTTGTAAATGAACTGACATTTTTGGATTAATAATGGTAATAACAACAAGAATAATAATAACAATAATAATAATAATAATAATAATAAAAGCATAACATTAGTTTGTGAAAATACTGCTGGCTTGTTCAGTAAAGAACACAGGTATTTGGATTTCTGTCTGTGTATGTCATTTGTAAATGAACTGACATTATTGGACTAATGATGATAATATCAATAACAAGAATAATTTAAACAATAGTAATAATAATAATTTAAACAACAATAATAATAAAAGCATAAAATTAGTTTGTGAAAATACTGCAGGGTCGTTCAGTAATGAACACAGGTATTTGCATTTCTGTCTGTATTTGTCATTTGTAAATGGACTGACATTTTTGGACTAATAATGGTAATAACAACAAGAATAAAAACAATACCAATAATAATAATAATAATAATTTCAACAATAACAACAATAAATGCATAAAATTAGTTTGTGAAAATACTGCTGACTCAATCAGTAAAGAACACAGGTATTTGAATTTCTGTCTGTATTTGTCATTTGTAAATGGACTGACATTTTTGGACTAATAATGGTAATAACAACAAGAATAATAATAATAGCAATAGTAATAATGGTAATAAATATAATATTATTAATAATAATAATAATAATAATAATAATAAAAGCATAAAATTAGTTTGTGAAAATACTGCTGGCTCGTTCAGTACAGAACACAGGTATTTGGATTTCTGTCTGTGTATGTCATTTGTGAATGAACTGACATTATTGGACTAATGATGGTAATATCAATAACAAGAATAATTTAAACAACAATAGTAATAATAATAATTTAAACAATAATAATAATAAAAGCATAAAATTAGTTTGTGAAAATACTGCAGGGTTGTTCAGTAATGAACACAGGTATTTGGATCTCTGTCTGTATATGTCATTTGTAAATAAACTGACATTATTGGACTTTTTCCATACAGGAGGTTTCACTTAAAACCCACCATTTAACTCTCAAATTATCCCCAGGAAAGACATTCTCATTTTACACACCATCTGGACTGCGGACATTTATCACATGATGATCTGTCACACATGTCTTGTATATGATGTGAAGTCAGGGTGACGACATACAGTATATTCAGCTTTGTTCAATTAAAGTGGAGCTCTAACCTGGGCAGGATTTCTATCACTGGAGGTTTCAGACACACCACCTTGCCAGCATACAACAAAGCATTTGCCGGAGTCACCTCTTACCATGTTTTACTGGTCCCAGCCTGGGTTACATTATTGTAACAATGGCCCTGAATACTCCCGTGCAACCCATCATTATATGACATATTACCAGGCATTGCATTAAGGCAGCCTGTTCATTTGAACAGACCTTAAAGTGGTTGCAAACCCTTCCATATACCCAGTGAAGTGACTGTCCTCTGATACACAGAGATTAAACAAATCCTCCTACATAAGGTGTACCTGTTTATCTGCAGCATCTGTCTCCTACATCCATTCAATTTGCAGAATTTACATAGCATCTCTCAGCTCTGAAAAGCAGGGGGCGGGGAGCTGTGGTTACATCAGTAGGGAGAGCTCTGAGAGCTGATTGGAGGGAATAAACATACCCCCTCCACCACACAGCACATAGGAAGAGAGCCGAGGCTGTCGATCTGCTAGAGGTTCCTCACCTGTCACCATTTTTCTCTCGGTGTCAGAAAAACATGGCAGAAATGATTCATAGCTGATATCAGAAGCAGCAGAGAGAAATGACACCTGGCTTTCTTAATTGAGACAAGTAGATAATTTAGAGGGATATGCTTTGTTCATATTTCATGTCTGAGGTTTATAACCACTTTAAAGGATAAGTTCACCTTTTGGACGAAAATAATAAATGCAAATTTTTTCACAGGCAAAAAAATGTGCATTTATTATTCTTGTCCAAAGGATCCTGTAAAGCATTGCACCAGCGATCAGTAGATCACTGATGCCATGCAGGTCTCCTGCAGACCTGTCAGATTATCTGCTTGCTGTATGGGATGTATGGGGTGTACAGGATGTATGGGGTGTACAGGGTGTAGGGTATGTATGGGGTGTACGGGATGTATGGGGTGTACAGGGTGTATGGGATGTACAGGGTGTATGGGATGTACAGGGTGTACGGGATGTATGGGGTGTACGGGATGTATGGGGTGTACAGGGTGTATGGGATCTACGGGGTGTACAGGATGTATGGGATGTATGGGGTGTACAGGATGTATGGGGTGTACGGGGTGTACAGGGTATATGGGATGTACAGGGTGTACGGGGTGTACAGGATGTATGGGGAGTACAGGATGTATGGGGTGTACAGGATGTATGAGGTGTAGAGGGTGTACAGGGTGTACGGGATGTACAAGGTGTATGAGGTGTACGGGATGTATGGGGTGTACAGGATGTATGAGGTGTAGAGGGTGTACAGGGTGTACGGGATGTACAGTTGCAAGAAAAAGTATGTGAACCCCTTGGGATTACGTGGAGTTTTGCATGAATAGGGCATAAAATGTGCTCTGAACATCATCTAAGTCACAACAATAGAAGAACACAGTCTGCTGAACATAATACTACACAAACATTAGATGTTGCCATGGTTTAATTGCACATAACATGTAAACATTCACAGTGCAGGGAGGAAAAAGTATGTGAACCTTTGGACTTAATAACTGGTTGACCCTCCTTTGGCAGCAATAACCTCAACCAAACGTTTCCTGTAGTTGCAGATCAGACCTGCACAACGATCTGGAGTCATTTTGGACCACTCCTCTTCACAAAACTGTTTCAGTGTAGCAATATTCTTGGGATGTCTGGGGTGAATCGCTCTCTTAAGGTCATGCCACAGCATTTCAATCGGGTTGAGGTCAGGACTCTGACTGGGCCACTCCAGAAGGCGTATTCTGTGCTGTTGCAGCCATTGTTTTGTTGAATTACTTGTATGCTTTGGGTTATTGTCCTGTTGCATCACCCATCCTCTGCGGAGCTTCAGTTGGCGGACAGATGGTCGTACGTTTTCCTGCAAAATGTCTTGATAAACTCTGGAATTCATTTTCCCATCAATGACAACAATCCGTCCAGGCCCTGAGGCAGCAAAGCAGCCCCCAAACCATGATGCTCCCTCTGCCATGTTTTACAGTGGGGATGAGGTTTTGATGTTGGTGTGCTGTGCCTTTTTTTCTCCACACATAGTGTTGTGTGTTCTTCCCAAACAACTCAATCTTGGTTTCGTCTGTCCACAGTATATTTTGCCAGTAGTGCTGTGGAACATCCAGGTGCTCTTTTGCAAACTTCAAACGTGCTGCAATATTCTTTTTGGACAGCAATGGCTTCCTCTGTGGTGTCCTCCCATGTGCTCCATTCTTGTTTAATGTTTTCCTTATTGTAGATGTGTCAACAAAAATGTTAGCATGTGCCAGAGATTTCTGTAGGTCTTTAGCTGACACTCTGGGATTCTTCTTTATCTCATGCAGCATTCTGCGCTGTGCTCTTGCAGTCATTTTTACAGGACGACCACGCCTAGGGAGAGTAGCAACAGTGCTAAACTTTCTCCATTTGTAGACAGTCTGTCTTACCGTGGACACATGAACATCAAGGCTTTTGGAGATACTTTTGTAACCCTTTCCAGCATCATGCAAGTCAACAATTCTTGATCGTAGGTCTTCTGAGAGCTCTTTTCTGCGAGGCATGGTTCACATCAGACAGTGCTTCTTGAAACCAGTAAACCCAAAACAGGTGTGTGTTTTAATTGTCAGCAACACATCCAATATCCTCACACTGATTGGAGTCAAGGTTGGCTCACTGGCTCCAATTAGCTCTGGGAGAAGTCATTAAGCTAGGGCCTCACATACCTTTTCCTCCCTGCACTGTGAATGTTTCCATGTTATGTGCAATTAAACCATGGCAACATCTAATGTTTGTGTAGTATTATGTTCAGCAGACTGTGTTCTTCTATTGTTGTGACTTAGATGACGTTCAGAGCACATTTTATGCCAAACTCCACGTAATTCTTGCAACTGTAGATAAAATATCCAGATTCATGTACAGGAAGGCCCCTAGCCTGAAAAATAAATTACCGTATTTTTCACTCCATAAGACGCACTTTTTTCCCCCAAAAAAGGGGGGAAAATGTCAGTGCGTCTTATGGAACAAATATGGAGCGGCGGTCCAGTATTTCCGCCACCACTGTGTCAGAATACCAGGCCGGCAGCTCGCCTCTTCTCTGCAGCAGAACCTTACCTGTTCCTCTGTCCAGCGCTGTGCAGTCTTCCCGCGCGCCGGCATCTGTGACAGCCAGGTGCCCACTGCGCATGCGAGAGAAGTGCTGTGCTTTGTGAATGGTCCAGCGTCTTCTGGGACACATGACAGGTCCCAGAATACTCTGGGCCATTCACAAAGCACAGCGCTTCTTGCGCACTCGCAGTGGGCACAGCCGGGTGCCCGCACTAAAGGGAGGAAAACTCTGTGCGAGTGGGTACCTGTCAAATTCAGGTACCCGCTCCCCCTCACTCCCCAAAGGTCTGCAGTCTCTGGTCATCTCCTGTACTGTCCGCAGTCTCTAGTCATCTCCTGTACTATGTCCGCAGTCTCTGGTCATCTCCTGTACTGTCCGCAGTCTCTAGTCATCTCCTGTACTATGTCCGCAGTCTCTAGTCATCTCCTGTACTATGTCCACAGTCTCTGGTCATCTCCTGTACTGTGTCCACAGTCTCTAGTCATCTCCTGTACTATGTCCGCAGTCTCTAGTCATCTCCTGTACTATGTCCGCAGTCTCTGGTCATCCCCTGTACTGTGTGCAGTCTCTGGTCATCTCCTGTACAATGTCTGCAGTCTCTGGTCATCTCCTGTACTATGTCCGCAGTCTCTGGTCATCCCTGTACTATGTCCGCAGTCTCTGGTCATCCCCTGTACTGTCTGCAGTCTCTTGGTCATCCCTGTACTGTCTGTAGTCTCTGGTCATCCCTGTACTGTGTCTGTAGTCTCTGGTCATCCCTGTACTGTCTCCGCAGTGTCTGGTCATCCCCTGTACTGTCCGTAGTCTCTGGTCATCTCCTGTACTATGTCCGCAGTCTCTGGTCATCCCCTGTACTGTCTGCAGTCTCTGGTCATCTGTACTGTGTCCGCAGTTTCTGGTCATCTCCGGTACTATGTCCGCAGTCTCTGGTCATCTCCTGTACTATGTCTGCAGTCTCTGGTCATCCCCTGTACTATGTCTGCAGTCTCTGGTCATGTCTGCAGTCTCTGGTCACCTCCTGTACTGTGTCTGCAGTCCATTGGTTCAAAATATTTTTTTTTTCTCCTCTAAAACCTAGGTGTGTCTTATGGTCAGGTGTGTCTTATGGAGCAAAAAATACGGTAGCTCCTACCAAACAAATCCTCCTTTGCTTACCAATACTTCACTCTGCCTACTACCAATAAAAGGCATGTATCAATGTAAAAAGGCATTGTGTAAGACTTGTACATTTATAAAGAACGGTCAAAAAAACCAAGGGTAAAACTTATGTTTTGAGTGATTTCTATAACTGTTCTACTGATTATGTAGCCTATTGCCTGACTTGCCCTTGTGACCTATTTTTTATAGGCAGAACTATTAGACCCTGACGTGTTAGATTTGGGGAACATCGTTGAGTTATTGAAGACGTCATTTTTTGGAATTCCATCAGAAATCCACAACAGGTTTAAAAGTTTGGATCATAGAAGCCATATCTAAACATTTTTCTGAATCTGAACATTTTTTAAGGTTGTGCTCCCAAGAGACATACTGAATCTTTATGTTGGGCACATTGTCCCCGGCTGGACTTAATGAGGAATTAGATGTCAGCACCATCCTATAATGTCATTTTACATATGGGCCATTTGCAATATTTCCAAACTGATCACCATAGCCATGTTTATTATCAATTAAGCAATTATTTATTTACCATTTACTATTTATTAGTTTTTATTATTATTAATTACTCCCTACAGTTACAATACATTGTATTATTACAGTTTTAACTTTACCATTAGCATTTTTTATGTGAAACATATCCATTTCTTTATTTCCAAGTCCACATTTGTATCCCTTATTGACAAGTGCACATACGTATCTTTTATATATACCATATATATGTATATATTCATTTAATATTTATTATTATATATATTCCTCATGTATGCTTCTCTATATATACATTGATATTAGTACTATTAATCATCTTCATTTTCTCCTTTATTATATTTATCTTTATTATTTTTATTGTATTATTTGTTTTTATATTCTTTTTTATTATTATTAATTTAATAATATTTTTCATTATTATCGTTTATATTTTATTCTTTATTTCTTGTTTCATTTAGTAATTTTACTATGTACATTTTATTTATGTTCACCATTGTCATTCATTATTGTTAATCATCATTAGGGTTCTCCCTATATATACACACACCACATCCTTCCCATTATTGCATCAGCCTATGCTTGAGAAGGGAGCGCGCTTGCCCTCTATTGGCCTCGCGCATGCTCCAAAACGTGTCACACTGCATGTCGGTCTCTCCCACTTCATCACGCTGATGCTGACTTGGCGCTCCAGGGTGCATTCCAACGCCATCTTCCGAGACTTACACACGCCTGCCGGCTTCTTTTGTCCATCTACAGTCTCCTCCAGCGAGGACCATGGCACTCTCAGCGAGGACTCATTGATACTCCATTATACTCCATTATACCAACAAGCTTTCTTTATCTTTTTACCATGTGAGTGTTTTTACATTGTTCCTGATTATATGTCCTTTATACTGCACTTAGAGGTGCTTTTATTCTTCTTCACTGGATGTCTTGACCATGTGCATGGCATTATGAAATCTGAAGCCTACCAAAGAATTCTGGGGTGCAATGTAGGGCCCAGTTTCAGAAAGTTGGGTCTCCATCAGAGGTCATGGGTCTTACAGCAGGACAATGACCCAAAGTACACGGCAAAAAGCACCCAGAAATGGTTTCAGACAAAGCACTGTAGAGTACTGAACTGGCCAGCAATGAGTCCAGATCTCAATCCCATAGAGCTCCTGTGGAAAGATCTCAAAACAGCAGTTGGGAAAAGGAACTCTTCCAATCTGAGAGACCTGGAGCAGTTGGCGAAAGAAGAGTGGTCCAAAATTCCAGTAGAGAGGATGGTTACAGGAAGCGATTGATTTCAGTTATTTTATGCTAGGGGTGTGCTATGAAATATTAAATTGAGGGCGCTAATAATTTTATTCAGTCCATTTTTGCTGTTTTGCGTGGAATGTGTTAGATTCCATTGGCTTTTTGTTTCCCATTTTTTTGCGTGTCATACCAATACAAACAAAATAAATAAGAGAATACCTAAACATTTGTAATTGCAAATTGTAATTGCAAACATTTGTAATTGGGGGGCAATGTTTAGCCATGACTGTAAGACTTCATCAGGAGATAATCCCATTATCTACCATCTTTAAACAAAATATTAGTTTTAGTTGGACACGTCATTTATTGTTTTTTTTTATTTTTTTGGTGTTCTTTATTAGCAGCTGTGTCCTGTTTCACATGACTTTCATATGCCTTTAAGTGTTCCTTGTATTTTGTCTCTGCTCTTCCCTTTCCTCTGGTTTAGTTCATCCTGTATAGATAGCCAACCCCTTTTCCCAGTAAGGCATTTCAGCTTCAAGCCTCATGTCATGAAGCAGATCACATTATGATCTTTTGATCTATCCAATGTTTATTGTTGTAAGATTCTCTCAGTTTATGAAATAAACTTCACAAGATCTACAAGGTGTCATCTAAATCGAGTCACTGCCTGTGTTATGCAACTAAGATTTGAGTTATCACTATCTCATCACAACTGTAAGTTACAGAGATCACACTTTCAATGCTTAGACTGGAGAGACAGAACAAGCTGGAATAACATTGTAAGTTTTCCCCCATTATAGTGCCTGGGACTCATACAGGTAAAACTCGAAAAATTAGAATATGGTGCAAAAGTTCATTTTTTCAGTAATGCAACTTAAAAGGTGAAACTAATATATGAGATAGACTCATTACATGCAAATCAAGATAGTTCAAGCCGTGATTTGTCATCATTGTGATGATTATGGCTTACAGCTCATGAAAACCCCAAATCCACAATCTCAGAAAATGAGAATATTACATGCAATCAATAAAACAAGGATTGTACATAGAACAATATCGGACCTCTGCAAAGTATAAGCATGCATATGTACTCAGTACTTGGTTTGGGCACCTTTTGCAGCAGTTACTGCCTCAATGCGGTGTGGCATGGAAGCTATCAACCTGTGGCACTGCTGAGGTGTTTATGATAGACCAGGATGCTTCAATAGCGGCCTTCAGCTCTTCTGCATTGTTCGCTCTCATGTCTCTCATCTTTCTCTTGGCAATGCCCCATAGATTCTCTATGGGGTTCAGGTCAGGCGAGTTTGCTGGCCAATCAAGCACAGTAATCCCACGGTCATTGAACCAGGTTTTGGTGCTTTTGGCAGTGTGGGCAGGTGCCAAGTCCTGCTGGAAAATGAAGTCAGCATCCCCATAAAGCTCGTCTGCAGAAGGAAGCATGAAGTGCTCCAAAATCTCCTGGTAGACGGCTGCATTGACCCTGGACTTAATGAAACACAGTGGACCAACACCAGCAGATGACATGGCTCCCCAAATCAACAGACTGTGGAAACTTCACACTGGACTTCAAGCATCTTGCAGTGTGTGCCTCTCCATTCTTCCTCCATACTCGGGGTCCTTGGTTTCCAAATGAGATGCAAAAGTTGCTCTCATCAGAAAAGAGGACTTTGGACCACTAAGCAACAGACCAGGTCTGTTTTTCTTTAGCCCAGGTAAGACGCTTCTGACGTTGTTTGTTGTTCAGGAGCGGCTTGACAAGAGGAATACGACATTTGAAGCCCATGTCCAGGATCCATCTCTGTGTGGTGGCTCTTGATGCACTGACTCCAGCCTCAGTCTACTCCTTGTGAAAGTCCCCAAAACTTTTGAATGGCCTTTTCCTGACAATCCTCTCCAGGCTGTGGTCATCCCTGCTGCTTGTGCACCTTTTTCTTCCACACTTTTCCCTTCCACATAACTTTCTGTACTTTGATACAGCACTTTAGGAACATCCAACTTCTTTTGCAATTACCTCTTGAGGCTTTCCCGCCTTATGGAGGGTGTCAATGATGGTTTTCTGCACAACTGTCAGGTCAGCAGTCTTTCCCATGATTGTGATTCCTACTGAACCAGACTGAGAGACCATTTAAAGGCTCAGGAACCCTTTGCAGGTGTTATGGCTTAATTAGCTGATTAGAGTGGGACACTTTGAGCCGAGAATATTGCACCTTTTCACAATATTCTCATTTTCTGAGATTGTGGATTTGGGGTTTTCATGAGCTGTAAGCCATAATCGTCACAATTATGACAAATCACGGCTTGAACTATCTTGCTTTGCATGTAATGAGTCTATCTCATGTATTAGTTTCACCTTTTAAGTTGCATTACTGAAATAAATGAACTTTTGCACGATATTCTAATTTTTTGAGTTTCACCTGTATATAAGACAGAGGAAACGTTTTCTTTTTTTTTGTATTGTTTTTATTTTCAGTCTTTGTAAACAGGAAAAGGCTGTAAATCGTGTCTTCCTCAAATCTGATTGATACCAGGAAGGAGATTCCTTTCCAATGACATTGGTGTCAATTATTTGCATGTGAGGGGAATTACTGAACCATATATATCGTAACTGGAATCATCTGCACTGGCAGATGGGGGAAAATGGACATTTGTATTTTTTTTTACATTATTAGCCCATTGATTCCTGTGGCTTTGAGTCCTCTTTTGTACATTTGAATACATAGGCAAAAAATAGAGAAATCCAGTAGTGGTGAAAGGTATCTAAATGCAAAATCTAAAATTGGAGAAAAAAAATTTGTTAAAATTAGTAGTCCAATAAACGTAAAAAAATAAAAAAAGCAGCCTTTGCAGTAATATGCACCTTTGGTCCAGCA